CCTAACCCGGTTCCAAAAACGGGGAGGTCGCAGGGAGCAAAACCCCTCTCCTGCCACCAGAACCACCCCCTCCCCACATCAAACCATGACACTTAGTATTTTGAAATGGATACATTTGTGCCATCTTGTTAATTTCTTTTTTGCTGTTCTATTTTCCTGCCCAGTACTCACTGTTCCTTTGCTGTCAGCAAATATGTTTGCAACCCACTAGCAAAGCATAGAGCTGTTTATGTGTAAAATGTCAATCTACTCCTTCCACTAATGATTGTTAGCTGAAAGGAAGAGAATTTAACAACAGAATAGTGGCAATGCACCTAGATGTGTCTGCAGTTTCTCTTTTGTTTCTCTTTAGAAAGCTGATGTATAAAAACATTACCTAACTGGAGAAGTTGTAGCTGAAAGATGTTAGTATGGAGATTGTCCTTCTGAATGCCTCTCTGTCAGCATACATGGAATTGTAGAATGGTTTGGGTTGGAAGGGACCTCGAAGATTATCTAGTTCCAATCCCCCTGCCATGGGCAGGGACACCCTCCACTATGCTAGGCTGCATTATGTTGTTTCCTCTTTTTTTACAGATGATTTTTTTATTTTTACTCAAAGTAGAGTAGTGCAAGATACAGCTTGTAGACTGTGTGGTTTTAGCTTATTTGTTGTGGAGGTTGAAAGGGGCATGAGAAATGAGATGTAATAGCAAGAGGATGAAGGACGGATAAAGCCCAGTCTGCTATGGAGATCAGATGTAATACAAGTGAAATTGCTTAAACTAAACTTTCATAGAATCTTACAGCTATGTTCTCTGTTTTCTAGGTGCTTGGCAGAAGGGGCTCAGAACTGATTTGTTGAAGTGCTGAGCAGTTGCAACAGCTGTTTAGGCCACTGGTAGCTGTGCTTTGACTATACAAAGTGCTATATAATGTTAATATACTGAAATCCTATCACACATCTCAAGTTGAGCACCCAGAATTAGCAGATATTTTCTCTCTGGCTCAGTTAGTGGTCTGTAAAATAATCTCTTCTCTCCTTATAGGACTACTGTGAAAATAAATTATTAGTGTATGTGAATCATGCTCTAGTAGCAAAAAGGAGCTACAAAAACCTGTGAGGAAATTAATAGTTCTGTCTTTGTTGCAGACTCTGATTAGCATATAGCAAATGAGCCATGGGATCAGACAGTTCTGTTTTATGGGAGTGTGTAGAGCCCTGTAGAGAGCAGTACTCCGTTTTGCTAGGTAATAGCCACAGAAATTTACTCTGGAAAATGTTAACTGTGGCCGTTCAAGAGATTACTGCTTTTTTTCTACTGTGCACCTCTTCCACCTCTGTTAGAGACTTTTGCTGTTATAGGAGGGAGACTAGAAGCAAAATCGTGCTGACCTCTTGGCCACTGCAGTGGATGGTATGGTGTATTAATTTATACTGCTCTTCATTTTATTTTAACATTACTGTCTGTAAACTGTGGTTGCTGAAGAACTAGCAAGCACTTGATCCTTTTCCTTCTGTTGTGTATCAAGTAATACCTTTCAAGAGAAGTATGAAAAGAGATGAGATACACAACCCCTGAATTGCCCTAGCGTGATGTGGTTGACTTCATCAGCCAGAGCTTGCAGATTCCCTGCCTCAAATAAATTCTGTTGATTCTGCTTCTCAGAGCTTCTGGATAGTGGCAGATGTGAATTTATATATACATGTACGCTTCCTTTAGAAAGCTGCAAAACATCATTAAACTGTTGAGAGAAATCCTATTTGCCAGACGTTTACTTTACACAGCAGCTTTTTATCTCGGAGGAATTACGTTTATTCTAAGCTTGAGCAACTCATGGAACCAAAAGCAGAACAAAATTGCTGGCAAATTGCTAATGGGCAATGTGGAGGTTGTTATGCCTTTTTTCTCTTCTTAATTGGAATCTGATAGCCACCTGTTTGAAATGGTCTCTTTGGAAACAAATGCTAATAATGTCAGTTTAAGCCTGGTGGAACCAATTTCAGCAGCCTAACCTCTTGCTGAACTAAAGTTGAACTTAATTTAGAAGAGAAGGAAGCCAGCCTGCAGAAATTAGATAATAATGGTGATAATTTTATTTTCTAGAAATGGCTTTAAAGTGTTTATTCTCAGATTATAATTAAGATGCAAACAAATTATTATTCCAAGTAGATACAGTTCTGTGAAGAGCGCAAACTTACTGATATCAAATACTGAAGGACTAAGACTGGCAGAATGAGATTTGCTTTAGTATTGTGTCCTCATCATTATATCAAACATCATGGATTATATCTGTTGGTAAAGTAATAGTTTATTGTTGTTGGTAATGAAAGGGATCCTCTCCCAGGAGGACAGGACAAGCTCTGCCAGTGTCTCTTGTTCCCTGCCGTTGCATGTAACTGGCTCATATCGTTCCTTTTTGTAAACTCCATTTTTCAGTTAACTAAGTTTTTGGCTTGTAATACTTTGTGGAAAGACTCTTTAGTACCTCACTGCTTTCCTATTAAAAGCACCACCAACAGCGGTTGTGGTGTATCTTGACTCTGACATGGCTTGGATGCCAGCCTACGTACTTGGCAAAAATACAAAAACTGGAATCCGTGGGGTTGATGCACACCTATTTAAACAGCAGCATTTGCAGAAAAGTCATTGTTGAGTGTACTGTCAGTCTGGGAAAGCATTTCAATCGAAGACCCACAAAAAAATCTCTTCTAGGCCTAGTTCTGCTAGGGATGGGATGAGGGAATAGAGGGTGAACTCTGAAATTGTCAGATGACCTAAAATTGGGAGATCTTGCAAGAAAATTACTATTTGGAGCAGAGGGGTGGAATTCAAAGGGATCTTGATTAACTGGTACAAAGAGCTCCAGATCAACAAGGTGAAATTCAGTGAAAGCAAATGGAATGTGCAACACACGAAAAGAATTAGTAAATTATAAATATAGAAGGGAAAGGAACCGGTATAAGTGCTGGGATTTGTTAGAGAATCATAGTCTGGACCTGATAGTGGAAAAAAAATGAATCAATGTCATTCTGGTATGTAATATGTAATGTCCACTGAAGTATTGCCCTCCTCAGGAACATTGTCAAAATGTGCTATTTCAGTGGCTGAGACCAAGCCTAAGGTGGAACTGCTTGGGTTAGAATTCATTCTCGACCTGGTGCTGGGAAGCTTACTTTGTAAGGAACTGCAAGGAAAAGAAGCAAGAAGGGGGGGTGGGGGTGGGGGAACACACAAAACCAGATAACTCCCACGTGAGGATGGCTCCTAACAGGCAATTTCAGAACAGGACGAGTTCTGTGCATGCAGGCATAGGGCCAAAATAACGACACTCTTGGCAGAAAAGGAAAGAGTCCTTGAGGGTATTAATCTAAAGCACATTTCTATCTGAAGAAGGTAGGTCTGCCCATCTAAATTCTTGTCAAAGGAGAATAAAGCTGAGAGTATCATCAGCCTGTATGTAGGCTGCTTTCTGAGATTAGTTTCTGTAAATGTTTTCTCTTGAGAATATAACTGAACAAGAGTTGCAGGCATTCAGAGAGGAAAAGCTTTAAATTAATGCTGGGTAAGCTCGGTTGGTGTGAAAGATGCTGCAGTCTAGGCCAAGATCTAGAAACAGGAGCTTGTAGAGTTCCACATCAGGAAGGGTACTTACGTGAACATACAAGAATACTATGTCTAAGCTAGAAGTAGAAGGCTATTACTGCACAATCCATACATTTGGAGCCTAGGATATATTTTGTAAAGAGAGCCTTTCTAGAAGGGTACCAGGGAGGGAATCAAAGATGTTTTAGAATCATCTTTTTTTTTTTTTTTTTTTTAAAGATAAAAGGCACTTCACTTCTGTTTTCAAATTTATTTTCTTTCGGATGAACACTTCTAAATGTCTTTGGCCTCCAACTTAGTTTGCTCTTCATCCTTTTTTTTTTTAGGAATCTTTATTAACATAGACCGGTCGTACCTGGAACCCAATTTGCACATGATTCTTTTCTGTTCTCTGCCAGCTCTTTGGGCAGGGTGAAGTGACAGTAGCATCAGAATTACTAGATGGACAGGTCTGGATAGATACATGTAAGTTCATGTGTCCTGAATGCATGCAAACAAGAATAAATCAGGTAGAGTTTATGCTTTCTCCCTTGCATTTTTAATTTTTTTTTTTTTTCTGTGTAGCACAAATTGCAGAATAACCTTCAGAATTTCAGGAAGCACACCTTTGAGGGGAAAAAACATATGTCAGTGCTTGTGTGTGGGTTTTAAAGTGATGCTTTGTGTTGTGTTTTTAAGCCAATCATTTATTAATGATAGCTTGGTTTTGGTGATGAAAAATGAAATGTAAACCATAATGGTGATATAAATTCCTGTTAAAAAATTTGCTGCTTCTCTCTTGTGACAGGTACTATGATGCTAGAACTCCAGGAGAGGGTAACTGAACTGGAAAACTGGAAGGATGGCAAAGGCCTTATCATCTATGGTGCAGGAAACACCTTTTGCTCAGGATCTGATTTGAATGCTGTCAAAGCAATATCCAACTCCCAGGCAAGTAGTGATACCAATTAAGTTTTGAAGAAAAATCAGCTTTCTGATATTCTGAAATCCCTTTCAGACAGAGATGTGGTGCTATGCCTCTGCTGTGTTTGACATGTAAGTCACAGAATAGAGCTTTTAATGGTTAAAAAAAATGCTGGCAGATCCTTTAAGCCATGGCTTAAGTGTTACTGTAATTGATTCATAACTCTGAATTCCTGCATTGCATGTTCTTTTTAGCTCTTTCTTCTAAAAATATCTTTTCAGTTTTTCAGAGCAGTATATGCTGAATTTACACATCAAATAACCTGTGCTTCAGTAGTTTGACCTTTAAAAGCATATACAAGTAATCATTTCTCATATATTATAAAGTGAAAACCAAATGTAAGCAGCAAATGCAACCAAATGTAATAGTATGGCTGCTATTACAGAAAGGTTTGAATTTTGTCAAAACTGTGCTTGGACCTGTATAAAATGGGAAAACAGATGCAATTGTTGTGCTGTAGAGCTTTGACATTGAGCTTGTAGTCCAGTCAGGTGAGTCGTGTGTAACTATGGGGTTTTATGGTAGTTTTTCACTTTTACCACCCTCTCTTGACAACTTTCACCTGTGCTGCAATTCTTTTTATGGGTTAATACCTGATTCTTGGCACTGCATGAGATAGGACTTTGTCAATGACAGGGGAAGAAGGCCTTCCTGTGCTGCTCTTATGTCCTGGCTTGCAGCTATGGTAACTGGCATCCTGGTGTTTTTTTGTGGCCACTCCAAGTTTCAGAATTTAACTGCACAAATTAAACATTTAATTGAACGTTCCAGTAAGAACACCAACTCAAAAATGGATTAATCTGGTATTTGTCTTCAGTGAGGATTTATTTCTGTTGATTAAACTAAATTTCATAAAAAAAAACCCCACAATGTCTTAAATATTTCTGGCTTGATAAAATAAATAGGACCGTCCAGTTTTCAAAAGATACAAGAGACTTTGTTTCCTTCGTGGAACACCATGAGAAGAATGCTTATCTTAATATAGAGACACCACGCTTTATAGATATAAATTTTTGGGGGGGAGTTTTCATTTGGGTGCTTTATAAGCACTGGTCATTTTAAAAAACATAGATGTATCTGTTTTTGGGGTTTAGTTGATGTTGTTTTAATATGAAATTTTCAGCTTATTTTATCATTATAGCAACAGAAAAGGAGCTGAAAACAAATATGGGCCAATTCTTTTCTTATCTGCAGTCTAGACTTTCTTTTGGAGATTTGCATTCAGTAATTCTCTGGTTCTGCTTCCATACACTTTGACATTTAGTATTCTGTGTATATGTTTATACAAATTACTTGGAGCCACTGCAGTGGTAGAGAGGACTCCTGTAAGGATTAAGGTCCATAACAGATCTACTGGGCAGAAATCAATGCACAGGTATTAATTATAACTTTATTGAAAATTCTCTGCAAAGAATCTAGATCTCAGGCAAGTACTGAAATGTAAGTCTAAGAGTCACCAGAAATGCTCCAAGAATGGTTAAACATGGTTGCTTTCTATTTCCTTGAGAGAGTTCAAACTATTTATCCTGAACCGAGAGTTTCTTTATAATAGCCAACTCCTAAACCGTCTGTTTGGTGTGATTTAATAGCCTTTATTAAATAATACTTTAACAGAATAAGGAATAGCATTTATTGTTCTTTAGTCTTGCAGAACTCTGCTCGCTAACTCATTGCAGATGAAAGTTTTGTCTGGTTTCAGGTTAAAAGAGCATTAGGTTAAGTTTTCTGTTCACAGGCATCCCTAAGACAAAAAAAAAAAAGTGAATAGCTTCATGCCTGAACCAGTATGTTTTTCCTTTATTTTTTTTGCAAGGCTGCTTTAGCCCATAGCTTTTAGTAAGTACAGAAAACACTTTTCTCTTATGCGACCAGTTGATTGAGGGAAGATTGTATTTTTCATAGTCTATGATACATTTTGTCTTTCCCTGTGGTGTAGGAAAAGCAAAATAATAGCCAAGAATGCTGAAGGATTTTCGTGCCCCCTAGTGGCTCCTCCTCCTCCTCTTCATCCTCCTCCTCCTCTTCATCCTCCTCCTCCTCTTCATCCTCCTCCTCCTCTTCATCCTCCTCCTCCTCTTCATCCTCCTCCTCCTCTTCATCCTCCTCCTCCTCTTCATCCTCCTCCTCCTCTTCATCCTCCTCCTCCTCTTCATCCTCCTCCTCCTCTTCATCCTCCTCCTCCTCTTCATCCTCCTCCTCCCACGTTCAGTTGTTCCTAACCCTAAAACAAACCTGGGTCTCTTGCCTGCTCTTCTTTGGTGAGTTCTAACATGTGTGGCCAAATCACAGATGAAAAATTAATAGTGAAATTAAAAAGAAATAATAATAATAATTTTTCTTTCTGTCCTTGTAAGTCCTGTTCCTTTGCAAGGAGTGAGACTTGCAAAGCTGGATAGCTGAAAGCAGGAGAGATTCTTGAAGGAACAGCTGAGAGGAAAGAGGCATGAAGGAGAATTTAACTTTCCTTGGTCCCTGTCTAGAAGCCCTAGTATAGAGGTTCCCAAGTGGTAAGCTGTGGAGGGAGGACTTTCAAGCAGTTGGAGATGGTCTGGAAATACTGTTGTGTCTCTAGTGAAAGTGAACTCTAAGCTCTTGCAGCAAAAAGAGCCAGCGGTACCGTTTTCTACTTTATGAAGGTGACTTTCTTCTCTGCCTCCTCTAGCCCCACCACAAACTATTAATCCCTTTCTTCCATATGTAGCGCATGCTGTATTTTACCTCCCTTTCTGCTCATTAGTTTTCTTCTTACTCCAAGGACAGCATTAGAGCTGAAAATGTGATTATTCCACTGGACTCCAGTGAACATCTCTCTTACTCAGATAAAATACTCTGACTAGTAGCCTTATTTTTCATATCAGGCAGCTTTGAAGGTTATGATGACCAGGAGTCACGTACCTGTGATTTATTTCCAGAGTGTTTTCTGTGCAGGCATTTTTTCCATGTGATACACAGTAATCTCTCCACCACCTGAGAATACGAAGACCTTTCTTTTTGTCCGCTCAGTTGTAACTGCATTTGTTTATCAAGCTGTTCTGTTCTGGCATTAATATTTACCATTTTAGATTTCGATACAAATTGAGATGGCCAGTTTGAATGCAAGGACTCTGCTGTGATGAAGTGGAAAAATTACTTTCTCTGAAGACCTTTTTTGCAGCTTGATCCTGATGGTTGTAGTATGGGAATTGTGCCAGTCCATGTCCAAGAACTGGTACCTTGTATGTTTGTGTGGGTTTTGAACTTAACTCTTCAGACAGCTATCACAGAGGATTTGATTGTTCTTTAATTTGGATTGGAAATATTGCCACTGGTCTTAATGCCTGTAGGAGGTGGCTACAGTGATAAATAAAAGCCTTTTTGTAAATTAATGTGCTGAAATTTTCAAACATGCCTTTAATGTAATGAAACTGAATTCACTGGTTCCCGTGTAACGATTGTCATGGCCCTTTTTATCTGCCAGAGATTTGTCCCTAAACACCATAATGCTGATTGGTGTTGGGCAGAGTAGGTTTTGGGGGCATATGAATAAATGGACAATAAATCAACTGAAGTTGACCTACTGTTATTTCAAGGTCCTATTCCAAGATGTACTGAAGATTTACTGCGTATCTTTTCTTTCTGTGAGATATGAGTCAGAAGCTTTTAATTAAGGCAGGTTCTTGAACTTGCCAACCGTTGTAAAACTGCATTTTAAAAATGAGTAAATGCCAGTAGAGAGATGTTTGTTTGTTCTTTTTCTTCCTGCCACTTGTTTGGGGCTTTTTTGGCGTGGTGTTTGGGGTTTTTTCTTTAAGACATTCTGAAATTTTTACCTATTGATTTTTTTAATTCTGTGGTGCCCAAACATATTTTTTTTTAATATCTGGATTAAATGGCACGTGTAGTTCAGTGTGTGATGTTCAGTAGGTATATCAATATGATCATACTGGGATATTTAGCCCAGTCATTTGTTGAGTTCCTGGTCAATACTGGATGTCTGAGAAAGAGTATAAGAACAGGGGAGGTAGGTAGATAATGATTTTGCTTCAAAATATTCTTTTAGTCCCTAGCAATTTGTGTCTAAGACTTCTAGAGCTAGAGGTGTTACTTTGTATTTAATAACCTTTTGTTGATTTTCCTGTGGTGAGTTTATCTAGCTGTTCCTGAATTCATGTAGTCTTCTAGAGGTTGCAATGCCCTGCTGCATTGTGATAAATAAAAGCCTTTTTGTAAATTAACATGCTGAAATTTTTAAACATGCCTTTAATGTAAGTTTAACTACACGTTGTAGGAAAAATATTTGGTTTGAACCTATCAGCAACTGATTTAATTTGAAGTCCCTTAGCTCTTTCACTGAAAGAGAAGGAAACAATTGTTCTCTATTCACTATTGTTTGCAAGCTGATGTAAAACATAAAGGAGGAGAGAGATAAGAAGTATCTTCTTTCTGGTTTGGGATTTTTTTTTTGACTGAAATACTTTTTGCCCAAACAATAAAAAAAAAAAGTGTAGTTGGTAAATTGTGTCTTGTCTAAAACTTTATGGATTTGGAACAGTAAAAAGTATGCACTGCTCGATGTTCTTGTACAGACTTTTAAAACTCAGCATTATGGATGTTTAACTGGGAGTGAGAACAGGAAAGGATGTAAAATTTCATATCATAGAAATTCAGTATTGCAGTTACTTTAACAGTGGCTTAATCTGAACTGAAATTCATATAAATTAATTGAGTTCTGATTTATTTTTTTTAACCTGATTTATACTAGGTTTTCTATTTGTGCATAGTGAAGTTCGGCTGGAATTCAGGCAATATTAATCAAAGAGAAAAAACCCAGCTAGAGTAAATACAATTATACTCCTGTCTGCTCCATCTGTGTGTTTAATTGCTTCACATTAGGATTTTTTAATATCCTTTTCTTTATAGGATGGGATGAATATGTGCATGTTTATGCAAAACACCTTAACCAGACTTATGAGGTAATACATTTTATTTACTCTTCTTTATGAAGTAATTATAAGGATTAGAATATGTTTTGGCTAACTCTTTAACAAGATGTTTAAAGTTAAATACATAGTTTTAAGTATGTAATTTTGAATCCCAGACCTTGTATTCGCATATGTTAATCAGGTAAGTATTTATGGATTTAAATTAGACCTTGACATTTTGCAAGTATTAGACTTTTCAGAGATTGGAACAGAAAAGAACCATGTAGGCTTACACATGGAGGGCGAGGAGATAACCTGGAGTTAAGGAAACCTAGGCCTTCAAAGTTTCTGAAGCTGACTTCTATAACTCAGTGGAAATCGGTAGCTCTTAAAAAACAAGCAGGGCCAGCTTATGCAGCCTACGCAGGTAAAGCTTATTGAATGCATTTATTTAATCTTCCTGTTTCATAAGAGGAATGCATTCAGTTCTGCCATCTGGTATTTCTGAAAAACAGTTTTTCCTTTCCTTTAGATTTAGCTTCCCTTAAGAAATCACATTTCTATTAAATCCATGTGTGGTAGCGTTCGGTCTTTTTTTTCTGCTCAGAGCTCTTTGAAGATAAATATTCTTTGTTTTCAAATAATCTATATGAGAAAGTGTTATGAGTTAACACCATTCTGTAGAACTGCCCAGGACATTGGAGTCTTAGTACTGTAAGGAATCCTCAGGATTGGAATTACAATCCATTTGTGTAAGTTGGTCTCCATGTAATCAAAATTGATGGGGCAAAGCAAAGAGGAGAGGAAGATGTATGAAGATCAAGCCCTCACCTCAGGTGTCTTTACTTAGGGTATATTGAAGCTATGGTTCAGACAGAGCACTAACTGCTGTTTGGGGACATTTGTTGTAGATGGGATCAGTCTCCCTCAGAGGGAGCTGAGGCTGACTGTGATCCTGAAGGAGGAGCCTCAAATGGATCAGAGTGTAGATGTAAGGGGACTTGGATCATCGGGGTGATCTTATAGCAGCCTTCCAGTACCTAAAGGGGGCCTACAGGAAAGCTGGATAGGGACTTTTTATAAGGGCGTGTAGTGATAGGACAAGGGGCAATGGATTTAAACTGAAAGAGGGCAGATTTCGATTAGATATAAGGAAGACATTTTTTTACATTGAGGGTGGTGAGGCACTGGAACAGGTTGCCCAGAGAAGTTGTGGATGCCCCATCCCTGGAAGTGTTCAAGGCCAGGTTGGATGAGGCTTTGGGCAGCCTGGTGAAGTGGAGGATTTCTCTGCCCATGGCAGGGGGGTTGGAACTAGATGATCTTTAAGGTCCCTTCCAACCCTAACCATTCTATGATTCTATGTCTTCTGGTTTTCCATAGACCATAGGAAAAATCAGGTTACCCTCTTCCAGTGGGTCCACTCCTGCAGTGTATTGCATGAAGTGTTCTGCAGCTTATAAGTGAACTTGGGCCATAAGTAATTGTTGGTGCTTCTGTTAAAGTAGAAGTAAAACCAAACGTGTGATCATGATTGGGAAGCTGACTTCTGAATGTGGTTTCAAAACTGCTCAATGAGTTTAAATATCTCTTTGGAGTAAAAGATGAAACAGCTATATCAGCATGCAAAGTCTAGGACTAACCAGTTGTCTTTGTTTCTTAGGGAACTTGTCTTATCCTAAGTCAGTCGTTATTCATTAATAT